CATAAATAGACCTGCCTGTGGGCAAAATCTCAGGTCGAAATACTGTCATTCGATTTATTGGTATATGCCATGCCATAGGCTAAAATTCCAGTAAAATGCCTATAACTTTGGACAGAAGGTCTAAGGGGATTTAATCTTTTGGAATTTTTCATAACTCACGGGGCTCTATCTTTTGCACAAAGTCTGAACTCAAAAGGGATTGGACAGCTGGCGATGTTCCCTCGTTATTCACGTCGCTAACGCCGAAAAAATTTTGCGTTTTTTTTTTTGAAAAATCTAGACATGTTCAAAATAATTTTACACCAGGATTTGCTAGCCTTTGGAATCGTGTCTAGTGTATCACATATTAAGTTTTCGGCAATTCTGCAATACTTGAAAACTTTTAATACCCAAAGTATATCAATTGATAGTTGATGTCCGTTTTGGTATTAGATCGCTAACATTAGTTTTTCATTAATAACTCCTCTAAACAAAGCTCTAGAGTGTTGATTTTTTTTCATGACATCTAGAATAAATAGAAACTCGTACAACATACAAAAATCAGTTGGTAATTCCGAGATATGCATACTCTAAGTTTGTGATGTCACGTCACTAACAAATGATGTAGTCCATATATGAATATTATTTAACTAAGTGAATTCAAATTTTCTGAATATTTGTCGGATATTGAAAAAACAAAAAAAAGAAATTTCAAAGACAAATAAATTATGCATAGTTTTCATTTATTTTTCAATGGATCGTATGTGTTAATGAATAACTATGTTGATTGTTTTTTTTTTGTGTGTTATCAGGTAAACGATCTTTATTTCCGAGACATTTTTTGATATTTCTCTTGCAATTTATCACACTTTATTTTTTTGACACATACATCATAATAATGTTTCTAAAACAAAATAGAAACATAAAACGATGTCTACAGAAGACAGGTAATATATCCTGTTTATTATTTACGTTTCTTATGATGATAGAATATTAATTGTTATGAAATCTTTTTTTTTTTTTGTTTTTCTAAAGATATTAATATATAGTTTATTCATATTTGAAATAGAGATATGCAATAATTTATTACATATTAAGAAAAATCTATATGTTTAATTCTAATAAATTTTTCATAGTACTTTATTTGATTCTTTTCAGATAGTTGATTAGATGTTATCTATATATATACCGACTTTAATGTCCAGCCTTTATGAGGTGTTCTTTTTATTTTTTTGTATTTATCAATTTGATACTATCATATGAATAAAAATTATAATAAGCGAGACATTGTATAAAATTTAAAAAAAACAAACGGGTACGAATTATCTTGAACTCGTTATGAATAAAGTAGAAAACTTATTTATATAAATATATTTTTTTATATTCATTTCAAAATCGAATTAAAGTCATGATATGCATCGATGGACATTATAGGTTTGCTTTTCTAACTATTTATTAGTATGTGTAAGATACCTACAAGTCATAAGTGTTATACTATTTTTCATGAATAGTTCGATAGAGTACATTGAATTGTATAAAGAAAAAGTGAGTTTCAAATAAGTTATAAAATATCAGAAAAATAGATCGAAAGTTTTTACTTGTAGATATCTAAAAAAAATCCTTTATCTCTCTCTCTTCGTATACATTATAAATAATTCATATTTAAAATTTAGCATATAAAATCTATAATTTAATCTAAATATATCTAATGTTCTTTTTCTAATAGTACAAAGTGCAAGTATATTTCAATATAGTATATGTAAACATGATATTCATCAATGAAAAATATACGTTTAATTTAGGAGTGTACAAAAAAAAGAAAAGAAAAATCAAACGATTGTTAATCATTAGACAAAACAAGGTATAATTTAAAAGTATCAATATTAACAAGAAAAATTAAAAAAGAAAAAACATATATCAAACCATAATTACGAAATATTTATAAAAGAAAAATAATAAAAAGAACATATTTTGCTACAAATTGAAAACGATATATATGTACAATTTATTGTTATATATTAATTAAAAATTTTAATACAAATATATGTTTAATGAAATGTTACATTCAGCTTCTCCTTCTCTTATTAATCCTCGAATTAAGTAAATATATATCTATTTAAAAAAAAAAAAGAAAAATTTATCTTTTCATTTCTTTTATATCAATTAGAAAGACTTATATAACTGCTCCCATCATTGCAATAGGTTGTGTATTTCTTGTTGGTTTTGTAATTGCAACTGCAGTTGTACTTTCATTAATACCACTTTATTTACCTCGAAAAGATATTTCATTATGGAGTAAGAAAAAAAATTTATTTATTATTAAATTATCTACTATATTTACTATATATATACATAGCATCTCCAACATATGTTTTAACACTTGATTTTCCTGGATCATTAGGTAATGATGGTTCATTAGATAGTGCAGCACGTGATGCATTTGCTCGTAAAGTAAATATTGTTAATATTTAGAAATTTAGAAATTTATTTATATTTATAGATTGAAGAATCACTTGGTTTATCAGAAGGTGCTGTAATAGTAATAAGTGCTACTGTTGCAACAGACCAAACTGGACGTAAACGACGTGGAGTGTATGTATTATTGTTTGTAAACATAGACAGAAAAAAAACGAAATCTTATATTTATTTTAGTCCTATTTCACGATTTCATCGTGGAACAACAAATCAAGGTGTACAAAGAATTCATATACGATTTAAATTTGGTGAAGCAAAATGTAAAGTTCAATGTCGAAAAACAAGTTTTGTTACAAAACTTTCAGCAAATTCATTGACAGTTACATTTACATATAATGGAGTTCGATTTGAATTAACATTTCAAATAAGTGTTCGTTCAATTACTGGTAAATTAAATATTTAATATGAAATTTTTTTTTGTGTATAAATCTTTTATTTTTTTAGATAATTCAATTCCATCAACATTAGCTCCTACTACAGAAACTACTACTATTACTACAACTACAGAATCAACAACATCAGAATCTACTTCAGTATCAACAATATCTACTGTATCGACAACAACTATATCAACAACAACTATATCGACAACATCTACTACAACAACTATATCATTAACTCCAAGTGTTGGTTAAATAAGAAAATAAAATATTTAATTATTTATTCAATTCGAATAGAATATGAATATGATTTAAACAAGAATATTTTTCTTCTTTTATTCTCTTTAAATTTTCGATTCTTGCGCATATACTTTAATAAACTTGAACTATATTATTATTAAAATGGAATGTATACATTAACATTATAGTAAACATTGATATATATGTTTTGCTTCTCCTTAATTATTATTTAATCGAAAAGATAATAATTTCTATGGTGACTTTTTGTTTATTTGAATTTCGACATACTTTAATATATAAACTACAAAAAAACATTAAGAAATAATTTTTTTCTCGAAAAACCATTGAGATTATTTATTCTATACATTTATTATTTTTTTTCTTGTCTTTTTTTTTTTTTGTTTTTCATTATAAATATTTTTTCATAATTATCTAACGTAAAGTTATTCGAAAGGAAGTTTATTGAATGTATGATATATCATTATTCCTACAAGTTTCTTATAATAGTAAAATATATATGTATATATATTCTGTTTAATACAGTTTATAGTCAACGTTTAAACACAAAAGTAGATGATATCGAAATTTTTGTTTTTTTTTGGTTTCTATAGTGTATCCGAAAGTTTTGTAGTTTATTTCTCATCTTTATGAATCTAACTTAGAACTACTGTAGTTTTATATATATATATTATTGACTTTGAATAAATTTAATATTTCGAGATAAAATAAATTGATAAATCTTTTTTTTTTGTTATTAATATTAAAATGATGTCTACAGATTTCATATCAAGGTTAATTAGGAACCAATCGATAGTTGATAGCAATGATGATTGTACGATGTTATTCTTTTTTCACTTATTTTTAACGTGTGCTTTATGTAACGGTTGAATAATAACATAATAACTAATTATTTTTCTAATGACTCATATATCAATTGATATAATATCGATAATAAATGAGTAGATATTTTGTATTTGTATTGATTCATTTATTAGATACTTTAGTTATAATCAATTTTCATGGATTTTCTTTTTTTTGTTAAATATTATCTATTTTTAATAAACATACTATCTGTCATCATCTAGAATTCTATATTCATAGTAATCAATAGTATAAGTACTACAACATAATATATATTTACAATAATTTGTTAATTTTATTGAAGAACATGAATAATGTACTATTAATTTGATTGTTTATAGAATTTTTAAATAATAATTTAGAAATTAGGATTAATATCAGATCGATCGATTTTGATCAATGTTTTTGTTAACTTTTAGAGTATTATAATTTTTATTGATATTTGAATATTTCAAGAAAAATCAATTTTAAAAATTCATGTCAATGAATTTTTGAAATCGTCATTGAAATTTCAATTGAAAATTGATGATATAATATTTTCGATTATACAATGAGTAATCTTTCGAAAATTGACTAAATTAAATCTAAGTAAGAGTAACACTTTTTTTTTTGACTTTTCAATACTCCTAAATATATAGTGGAGAACTCTACTTTTCAACTATCTTAAAGAATAATTTCAAGTAAGAAAAAAACAAAAATCACTTCTTATGAATAAATTCTGTATTTATTAAGAAAAACTGGTCAAAATAAGGCATAAATTTTGTTCTATACTACTTGTTGTAAGATACCACACGACAATTTTTTTTTTTGCTTTTCAGTTTTAGAATGTATATAATACTGTGAACAAATAATTTATCAATTGGTATGTTAACAGATCAATTTTTCACCTTTTGAAATTACCCATTGAACCAGTTTCAAGTCCGGTACAATTAATTGTTAGCTATATTGATATTAACAATTGGTTTCAACTAATCTTGAATTGAAATCAAAGCTGGCCATACAAAAAAAAACTAATCAATTTTATGAAAAAATGGCTTTATTCTAATATTCGTCGACAATGTTTTACGAACAATCACTATGGACTTAAAAATTCCAAGATAAAAAAAGAAAACATATTGGCAATGTATCACGAAGAATATTATTAGTGATAAGGTGAAAAAAATGACGTTATCTAATTTGATAATCAACTTGATACTAATGAATACGGTTGAGTACATATCCTGATACATTCGAAATTTTTTTCATAAAGGTGAATGACTGAATAGTCAAAGTTATAGTAATTAATTATACACATTGTATAAACAGAAGGGTGATAAAACTATTTTGAATAGAAGAATTGAAGTTTCGAATAGATTAGGGTTAATTTCCAATACTGATTAAAAAAGTTTAAGTTTAATGCAAAAAAAGAACTTTTTGTTTTTTGAATGAAAAATTTTTCAACAAACACTTTGTAATTAAATTCATTAGATTATTACTATTCTATTTGTGATAAAATTTTAAATCATATGTAATATTATAAGTTCAAAACAATCAACGATGGATATTGAATTATAAAAATATCATCACTATACAGTAATATAAACATACAATGAGGGCTCAAAAAAGCATGTACATTTTTGTTTTTATGCATAAGCGAATAATAAGGATATTCTCAAAATTTTCTCTCATATCGGACTTTGTAGAGCTTTTTTCGCTGATCATTTTGGTAACAAAAAGTTTTTTAATTTTCATTGAGTAATGACGATGTTATAGTCAAAATACTAAACACTGTAATATAAAGTAGGGAAAAAAGTTTAGCACACTTTTAGTATTTGGCTAATTTTTACGTTATTTCACAAAAATCTGAAAGATGTTCTATATATCATTCGACGCAGAATTTAATGGGCTACATTTTGATAACAAGTACTTATACTTATATTTCAGTTAATTAATTAATTAATAAAATTTTGATTTTGATTTTTTTTTAAATTCCAACTCTTTCATAA